TGAAAAAAAAATCAAGGTGGTATATGACAAAATTCCCTTTAACAGTATATACATATGTGTGTGAAATTTTGTCTATATGACACACATAGGCTAATATATGTGTAAATCATCAAAGCTGCAATTTTATGTATCAACCTGCTAACAATAATTATTTCTGAAGGTTGTGATAGGAGAGATGGGTAGAGGGGGCAGATTTTTCACTTTGGACTCTATATATTTCCAAAAAAAGTGATGGAATAGCACGTGGTTTTTAAAATACTTCTCTCGTGATTTTCTACAGTTTTCAAATTAGCTGAAATAATTTCAAAACAAGTCATGGAGCTTAAGTGTTATAATAAAGAGATAAGACCCAAGCTGTGAGGGTCAGTTAGAGGAGATGCAATGAATACAGTCTGTTCCAGGGAGAAGTATGTCTTCAAGTAGAACTCTGGATATTGTGTTTCTTATGAGGCAATACAAGTCTGCTCCTTTAAATATTGTCCTGGTAGGGCTTAAGCTTCATTTGTAAGCTTCATCTCTTTTAAGGTTCATTTCCCTATTGTCCAATTCACCTCTGTGTCATTCCCATGTATAAACTTGTTGCCTTTGTATGATGCATGAGGAGACCTTGTCTAATATGTTGTCTTTCACACTATGAGTTGTGACATATTCCTGGGTTGTAGAATCAGTGTAGTGGGTCTTGTCCAGCATGTCTTAGAAAATAAAACTAGGATGGAACAGAGAGTATCATGTATAATAAGATGCCTTATTATTTCATGGAACCTTGGCTTTAGGTGTGTGTATGTGTGCTAGATTGAGATGTAAAATGTATCTCAGTGCGAGTCAATGACAAAATGCTTAAAAGCCACTGGTCTAAACACAAGTCTAGAAATAACCAATAGTATCATCTTGTGGATGCCTCTGCGGCTCTTGTGATCTGTCAGTTTCTTTAAGAGATGTCCAAGTCAGGACTTCATGCCAGCAAATAGCAAATTTCATTATTTAGATTTCTACCATTATAGCTAAGTGATTTCAGTTATTGAAGGCTTTCCTTCTATTTTCCATCTTGTGATGACTACTTTAAAACTGCATAAATTTCTTGAAAGGATTTACACTTTGATGTTGTGTCAAAACAGGGTACATGACAGTGTGTTAGGTAGTCCTCAAAACCATGGAAAAAACAAATTTTAAGTAAAACAAGCATAGTCACATTATGAAAGACTACAAAAGTCATATGGATTTGTAAGATAATATACAAGACTTCAAAGTTCTTTCTTTCCTGCAGTAATCACTGTGGGTGATCTGCCCTGAAATCCCAAGGGCACCCATTCAACTCTCCTGCCCTCAAGAACACTTCAGTGGAAAAGCCTGCTGTAAGCCATTGTGAGCCAGACTCATAATTAGCAAGTGACACCTCTGCAGAAATTCATCCACACTTAATTGAGAAAGGAAAGAGGTCATGGAATAAGAGTCGTGAAGGTAATAACTTCTGGCTACACTGGGCAATTTTGTTTTCAAGGAACAGAGATTCAGATCATCTCAATTACTAGAGATTTATTATAGAGAGAAACAGAATTAACAATAAAAATAATAAAAACAGCTACAGGAATATCATGGGGAAACAAGAATAGGCCTGTACCTTAAAATGGAGCTTCACTGCCACTTAAACTGTCGTTTTGGATCCAGGAAGCAAGTGATCAGGTATTTATTGTGGCCTCTACAGAAAAGGTGACAAAGTTATGTGTCTCTGCTTCTCTGAGCTGCCAACCAACTACCTGATCTCAGGTTGTATTTTTTTGGTTTGTGCTTTGTTGTGTCTTCTTTACTAAATGTATCTTATAGTATCTACTGTTTCTGTCTCTGCTGCCTGCCTATTTCTAACAATGACTGACTTTCTGCCTGCTCAGTTCATATTCCCAGAGAGAGTTTCTGAGTGGTCTAGCTAATAAGGATACTTCCTGCCACCAGCTGAGCATGTACAGACTCTGGAGCCAGATAGCCTGTTTCAAAGCCCAGCTTTACTGAGTACTGGACATTTGACCTTGGGCAACTGATTTAAATTTCTGTTCCTCAGCTTCCTTACCTATATAATGGTGTCTATCCCATAGAATGGTTGAAGAGTCGATGTGTGATAAGTACTTTTAGCTCTCATTAAGTACTGGTACTCAAGTAGAGCTTTTGCAGCAACGTTTCTCAGTTCATGAGATAACCTATAGGAATGGCCTGTATGCTGGGGCCACAATATACAGACATGATTTCCTAACTTCATATGAATAAGTATCTACTGTACGCCAAGCCCAGCGATGATGCTTTCATGCTTGTAGGGAA